AAGTCATATGCTCTCCGCCTCGGGGAAGGCAATGGCAAACCTCCTTTGAACAAATCTTGCCAAGAAAACCTCATGATAGGTTCGCCTTGGGGCCATCATAAGTTGGAAACGACTTGAAGGGACACAACAAAAACAAACGTCTTGAGGAAGGGGACCAAAGGAAGATATTCACAGGTGGTTCCTGGTCCAGTGCCTTCTGGTGGAGTCTTTCACATTCCTGCTCCCCAACAGGGAGTTGGCAATAGGAGTACTTCAAGGATTCTTGGGATCTGTCAGTGGCGTCCCTAGGCTTGGTGTCACCCGGTGCAGTAACTCATGGTGTCACACCCCCATTGACCTCCTCCCATTTCACACCATACACAATCCTTAGCAATGCTTTTTTTGCACGAATGTTACTCTTAAATCGCAATTCCCATATAGCACTGAGTGCAATGCTAATAGCTGTGACATAAACAACTAGCAAAATCAAAATTATACCTTCAAATTACAATATCATATGCACAACCTAAATGTGTTTACATATGCATAGTGAAGATTTGGTTAAAATGTGATGTTTTAAAGAAAATTTTAAAATATTTTCAATTTTTAAATTTTTTTACAAATTTAAATTTTTCACATTTGAATTTTAAAAATTCTGGGCCCTCTCCTTTCTCCTCGTGCTGAGATTCATCCCACTCCCACCATTTCTTAAAGCCTTTCAACGGGAAACAGATGAATGCCACAGCCCATTTCTGCCAAAAAGTTGGTGTTTGAGGAGCAGTGGTGTCACCCCCACTTAGAGTGCCACCGACCATACTAGCTGAGTGACTGAACTGTAATCCTTAAAACTATATCTTTTAAGTTCCATAACTGCTGAACAGTTATGTCTTTGCTTATTATTATCATTTTAGTGGGCCCTTGGTATCCCCTGGGGTTTGGTTCCAGGATCCCCCCCCCTCCAATGGATACCAAAATCCATAAATGCTCAAGTTCCATTATATATAATGCATAGCCCTGGTGGTGCAGTGGTTAAATACCTGTATTGCAGCCACTCACTCATAAACCACAAGGTTGCGAGTTCAATACCAGCCAGGGCTGAGGCATCCTTCCGAGGTCACTAAAATGAGTACCCAGCTTGTTGGGGGGCAATCAGCTTACAGTTGTAAACCGCTTAAACATCCCATAGCGTGGTATGAAGCGGTATATAAATGAAGCTGCTTTATAGCAAAATGGCATCCTGTATATAAAATGGACTGACTATGTGATGAATGTTGCTGTCCTTGAGCAAGCAGGGA